AGTCTTCAGGGAAAGTTGTTTTGGTTGGAAAGCTGTGGTGGGGCCAAGATGAAGAAATGAGACATCAGAAAATTGGCAAGAGACAATATTTTCATGCTCTTGCTCTAATGTACAACCTGAAATCAGCATTGGGGTAAAGGCAGGGGAATTATGCATCTTTGTTAAAATAAACCAAATAATTGAAAAAATAAGAGGGTTTTGTTTTTTTCGTTAGCTGATGGATATTCCACCTTTTAAACTGATTTTAAGTTACATTCAGTTTAGGAAATAAAGACATTTCATTGTGCCCTTTAATAAATAGGTGAATTAGCATATAAATAAGCATATCTGAGGCAGTGTTCTGTGGTAAGCATCCTTTTCTTCTTTTTTAAGCAGCGTATTCCATCAGATACTCACTGGTATAGACTCTGAAGGCCTAAGGAGATAATGCCACGTACACTTCAAGCCTAACTGATACTGCAAAGGGCAAGGTGTGCGGTGCTGGGAGGGTGCAGGTCTTTTACAAGTAGTACCACCCTGGTGGTGTAGTGGTTAAGAGCTCGGCTGCTAACCTAAAGGTTGGCAGTTCGAATCCACCAGCTGCTCCTTGGAAACCCTATGGGGCAGTTCTGCTCTGTCCTTTAGGGTCATTATGAGTCGGAATCGACTCGACAGCAGTGGGTTTGGTTTTCTTTTAGGTTTTACCACTGAGGCCTTCCAGACAGGTTGACACAGGTTCAAGGTTCCCTTTGGTCTTGGAGTTCCTTGCCTCATCTCTGCGTTTGAATTGAACTCTTCCCTCTTTAAATTATTTGGGGATGAAATAATTCCTTTTATTTGCATGTTTTTTTCTAAGCACATAGTGGTTACACAAGGGATCTGGAGGATGAGCCAGAGAAAATTTCCTGGCTGTCAACTTGTGATCTTAGTGATTCAGAGGCAGCCTGCACCCCCTCCAAGCATGAAGAGCATCACCGAGAGCTTTGTGGTTATTGGGCTTATTTTTGATTTTTTGTTTTGGTTTTTTGTTTTTCTGGCAGCACTTTGAACTCCCCTCTGTAGTGTGGTGCTTTGGAACCCTAACCCTACCCCAATCCTGGGAGACTGTCACCCACTGGTGACAAAATGCATTGAACTTGAGCTAGTTTGTCAAAATCCCAAAACTCTGAACTCCCCC